TAACATTTTACAGAACACACCGATAGATTCATCAAAAAAATTTCTCCAATTTCACGTAAAAACAAATTTCACAAAAATAAAAGGAATATTACATAATAATATTGGGCCCGTGCTGGCACGGGCCATTACTTTCTAGTATATATAGAAGAAAGACTATACAAAATTTATTGATTTTGATGATAATGAGGGGAAAATGCTGAACACTCATAAAAATATACTCCTCCATTCACTTTTGTTGATTACTATAAAAAATAAATATTTATTTCACTTATATAATTAAAATATAAGAGATAATTTATCATTTTACATCGATTTTATTCCTTTTTATTAAGTATTTCTTCATCGTAATGAATGAGATGGCTTGTGATATTAAGGGTGATATAGTATATAAATTGTCATATTATTTATTATTCCTTTCATTTTGTTTAATATGCGCGGTTTGATTGATATGATTTATATTTATTTTTTTTAAATTTGGATACAATACTTTCAAACTTCTCATAAGTTTCTTCTTCTAGTGAACTGTCATTTTAAATTAGTGATAACATTTATCCTCAAAAGAATACAAAAAAAAATGAAAAAATGTTGAATTAAATTTCACTATTTGGGATTAAGATATTTCTTAAATATAAAAAAAAAAAAGTCTAACCTTTACAATCTTCATCACCAATTACAATCTGCCAACTTCCCCACTAATTACAATCTGCAATCATCTAGTACAAAGTTAATGCATAAATATTTTTGCTATAAAAGGAGCAACTAATTTTTGACAATTGGAAAAAAACAGTAATTTTGATGAACAAACTTTCTATTTTATAAATCAAAATCCTGTCATATAAATAACTATATATAATATCGATTGTTAATAATAAAGAAGAAGGAGGTAAAATCATACGAACTACTAAATAATAAAAAAATCTAAAGTTGATAATTTGGTAACTTTGTTTCAAATGCTCCAAGAGAAAAGATAAAACATCAAAAATAGTTTTTTGTAAAATAATTTTCTTTTCTTTCACTATTAAGTGTTGAAGTAACCTAACTTTAAAATTGATATTTTTCTGCACCTTTAATTAAAAGAGATCAACATAATTCACCGCTTCAAAGCTGTCTAGATTTTTGTGAGAAAATAATTTCAAAGTTACTTTGTCATAAATGCTAATGGGAATCTTTCATTTGTCTCCTCTCTTTAATCACATCAGCCCACCGTATCTGTATCATCCTTTGAACTTCCTTCCACATGTTCAATAAAAGTATTTATAAATAAGTTGAGATTGAAAAATAAGTTACTCTTTTACCATTTTTAAGATAATTGTTATCACGTATCCCTAAATATTTGGCTTAATCTTATATTACGGTTAGATTTTGAATTTAACTATTTTCATCAAAGTAAATATTTCAATAATAATTTATTTAGCTTTATTTGTTTAGATTTTGAAGTTTTTTTTCCACCTCAAATTTAAAATACCGATTTTTTTTTATATATAATAAATTTTACAACTTGTTTATACGTGGGCACTTTTATATATATAGTTTAAAATAATTAAAATTAAAAATATGATAAATTCCCACAAAATAAGGAATCACACATGTCATTTAAGTTTTGTTAATGTTAAAACTTTTAAAAAAATTAAATCGTTTATTTTCTTTACAACTCACGTTAATTTTAAATAAAAAAATTAATTAAATTTTAATTTTTTGGTTTAAGGTGCTTATGTGATAGATTTTGTCTTTCATACTGTATATAAATAGATAGATTTAATCTAATTTTAAATTTATAATGATTAAATTAAAGTGTTAACTTATCCGTTCTTTAAAATTTTAAGTAAATTTTAATTTCTAAGTTTAAGGTGCTTATGTGATAGATTTGGTCTTTCTTACTATCTAGTATCTATAAATAGATAAATTTAATCTAATTTCAAATTTATAATAACTAGACGTGTTGCCCGTGCGCTCACGGGCCCAATATATATTAGACGATAAATGTCACAAATACTATTAGGTGGTAAATTAGTTAAAGAAGACGATTGTGCTGCCTATGTGATGTATGCATATTATTTCCATAATTACATTTTTTTAACGGAAGATGGTTTCCACATATTGCAAAACAGATGATGGTGGCAGTCATCTTGTTGTCACGCTGTAGTTGACAAAATACCTGTAGTTGAGAGAAGTGCTGTAATTTATGGATGTAGTGTGTAGTAAGAATGAAGTATGATTAGCTGTGGCGTACCTTATCTTGTTAAAGCATCGACATTGTGCATATTCTTGTTCAAGTTTGTTCAAAAGGCAGTGAATGTTTCATCATTTCAGCCACGCCCTCGATGGATTTTGAAAGAATATATGATCAAGCACAATTAGGAGTAGATCATATTTAAAATTAGTCGGAGGCTTGGAGCTATTAGGTCTGCTGTGTGAAGTTGTTCAAAGCCAAGTTTGAGAATTGACAGAGAACACTTCCAATTGTAGTTGATAGTTGGCTGGTGACATGAAAATGTATTCAAAAACCATATATCATTTTCCATAAGCCCAAATCATATCGTGCAGAGCATCCAAAAGAGGAAAAGGTCCAAAAGAAGAAAAACACTATGTATACACAAGCTGTAAAATAGAAGTCAAGAACACATATTGTAATAGTTTTGGATCTTGTAACCCGCAAAAAGTTAGTACAACAAACCTGAGGCTTCCCGAATAATAGAAAGAAAAGGGAAGGATAGCATATAGGTCCTTACTTTTAATCATAATTGATGTGCTATGAAATTGTGGCACATTTGACGCTTAAGAACTATGAACTAACACTGGAATTAAGTGAAATTTTGTACTATTTGATAGGTTTGTTGAATGTGTAGGAAAAAGTCTGGTTGGTATAGAAAATGGAAAAGAAGCTGCAAAATGATGATGGCTGAAGTAAAGTTCACGGTCAACTTCACGGACCGTGACTTCCATTACGGTCCGTGGTTGAGCTCGTGAAAGTGAAGCAGTGTTGACCTTGAGAAGATGAAGAGGAGTAATAACAAGTGACAACCACGGAAGGTCCCACGGGCCGTAGCTTTTACCACGGACTGTGGTACCTACCGTGGAGTTGAACCAGTGTGAAAGAAAGGAAGTTGGCAAAATGTTGGAATCCAAGTGAAGACCACGGACACCATCACGGGCAGTGGCCCTCGCTACGGACCGTGGTGCAGTTCGTAGTCCTTGTTCCAGTGAGTATCATTGAAGACCCAAACTTTGGGAAGACCACGAAAGGCTTCACGGACCGTGAAGCCTTTGACTGGTCGTGGTAGTAACCGTGAAAGTTCCTGACAATTCAGTCCTAGTTTGATTAGGAGTCACTTTTAACATGTCGTGGTAGTAACCGTGAAAGTTCCCGACAATTCAGTCCTAGTTCGATTAGGACTCACTTTTAACATTCTAGTTTTGAACTACTTTAGGTCATTTTTGAAGGATTATTCATTATCTTACGTTTTACGACTAAGAACACAGTATTTTTCTTAGTATTAGATTTTGGATTCAGATTATTCTGATCAGTTTAAAGTTTGGATTTCGATTATCAGATTATCAAGTGGTTGTTGATTTACTAATTATTTTCGTAAGTATTTCTTAACATGTTTTCATTATCCAGTACTGATTCTTTACTTGAAAACATGAGTGGCTAAATACCATGGCTGGGTGTGTGGGATCTATGACGATATTCCAGTTGCGATTCCGTAAAACGAGTAAAAGATAGTCTTTGTTTACAACCTGCAGTTTACAGCTTTCATTATCATTTCAGTTTATTAAGTGCATGCTTTAGACAGGCATGTATCTAGTGTTTGTTTGAGAGAAAAGCACCAGTTAGGAAAAAGCTAAACTAAGTTAATGCATTGGAATTAAAGTTGGAGTTCGAGAGAAGAGATCTTTAACACCATATCAAATTAAGCGAAGTCCAATATTGATAACACTTTATGTTTGGAAGAATTAGAGTAAATATTATCTGATTAGGCTGAGAAGCGTTAGATTAATTCAACTCGCAAAGATTCTGTAAACATTGACTTATCTGACATTCACATTTCAGGAGAGCATTATAATTGATGTCATAGTGAACACAAAACATGGTTTCTTTAAATTAACTGAATTAACTTACAACAAGATTGCTTGTGAATTGTGTATCTAAGTTTTGACTGCAAGTGTTGGTCGTAAAATACATTTCAATCAACCCAATTTACTTTCCGTGTTATTTGTTTAGGAAATAGTAATGACAATTGAGTAAACGCGACAGGGAAACTTTATCTGTAAAGAAATTCTCTGTGGGATCGAGCTCAATTGTAGTTGAGTTCTGTAAATTGGCAACGACCGTTTACACTTCTTATTTGGAGTGTAAGTTTGGACGTATCAAATTTTGGCGCCGCTGCCGGGGAATTTCTATTCAGAAGTGTTTTACTAGCTTTTATTCGATTTGTAGTTATATTTCCTAATTTAACATTTTGTTCTGTGTTTGTGTCTCTTTCAGGTGAGTATTACTGTGTATGCCAAGAACCAGGAGTAAATGAGCTCCATTGATCCCTTACAACTCAAAACTCGAAAAGACTCTTCGAGAAATGGTGAATGCACAAGAATTGGAGGCACAAAGACAAAGGTTAAGACTAGAAGCTGAAGCCGCTGCGAAAGGTGTTCAGCAGAATGGTGGTAACAACCAACCTAGGGTGGTAGATGAGAATAGAGGAGTGGATGGATTGATCCATCCCCAGTGCCAACCAATAGCTCTAAGGGGTAAAGCTCAACATCCAGCGCACATGATGTATGATGAAGATGATGCAGATTTGGATGGAGCTGAAGCCACTAGAGCGATAGTGTTACCTGCACTACCTCCAGGTGTTAAGTTCACAATCACCAGCACTATGATTCAATTGTTGAACCTTAAAGGTATGTTTAGGGGTACAGCTGGTGATGATGCGAATCAACACTTGATGAATTTTGTGGCTATCTGTAAGTCATAAGAGATTCTTGGGGTCAACCAAACAACAATGAGATTGAGGTTGTTTGCATTGTCTCTTACTGGAGAGGCGAGTAACTGGTTGAATGAAATGCCAGATGACTCCATCAGAACTTGGAATAAGTTGAAAGAAGCTTTCCTGGAACGATTCTTCCCAGAATCAAAAGAGTTGCAGATGAAGGACGAGATTAGTACACACAAGCAGCTACTAGGAAAAGCAATGCATGATGCTTGGTGGAGGTTCAGCCAAAAGTTGAAGAAATGCCCCAACCATGATCTTACTGAAAGGCATCTTAAACATGCATTTTATAGGTCTCTGAATTATGTTACTAAATATGTTGTTGATGCAGTTTGTGGAGGATCATTTATGAGGAAGTCATTTGCCGAGAGCATACAGCTATTGGATGAGGTCTCAAAGAACAACAGAGCATGGTACACTAGAGATGCAGAGGTAGGAGAGCTTGGGTATACATTTGAGCTTTCAACTAAACAAAGGAAGAGAGAAGAAGAAAGGGACCAAGACAAGGCACATATGAGGACTCAAATAGACCTGCTCACAAAGCACATTGTCGCCAAGTCTGAAAAGGTGAATGTTGTGGGACAGTTGAAAAGGTATGAAGATCCAGATATTGACATTGATGAGGAAGCTAACTATTTGGGGAACCAAGGAGGTTTACATAATTATAACTCTGGAAATCAGGGTTACAATTCTGGAAATGCAGGTCGGAGTTATGCTAGGGATGGTCGGTATTAAAGGCCAGCAAATAGAGATCAAGGAAATTGGCAAAACAGAGATGGGTATAAGAATGATCGCAGTGGTGTATATATACCTCCAGGTAATAGAGACCGGGCGAGTGGTAGTTCTAGCGGGTCTAAGCTTGAGGACATGATGGCTAAGGTACTTCAGAAGATTGAGTCAACCGATGCAGGGGTGAAAGAAATGAGAGGTGACTTCTCGAGCATGAGTCAGTTGGTGGACTCTCACACCACCCCTATTAAAAAAATAGAGCAGCAGTTGAGGCAACTCTCATCCTCACTGAATCAGAGAATGAATGGATCACTACTAAGTGATACCATTCAAAATCCCAAGAAGGACGGACACTGCATGGCCATCGCCACCAGGAGTGGTAAAGTTCTTTCTGATCCTATTTCTGCAGGTACCAAGTATGAACAAGTCTTAGACCAAGCTAGCAGAGAGGAAGATGAGACTATACAGGTAGATGATCTGGAGGAGGCTCAACAGGCTCAACCTAAAGCACAACCTGTGAGAGGAAAAGAGAAAGAGATTCAGAAAGACCTGCCCTTACAGCAGATTCCCAGGCCACCTCCTCATTTCCCTCAAAGGCTCAAAAAGAAAGCTGAAGATGGAAAGTTTACGAAATTCATCACCATGTTGAAACAACTTTCAGTAAACATTCCATTGGTAGAAGCTCTGGAGAAGATGCCAGGATATGCCAAGTTTATGAAAGACTTGGTTACCAAGAAAAGAGTTGTAAGTCATGATTTTTTTAACGATGTTCATCATTGCAATGCCATTGCTACCAGATCTCTGGTTCAGAAAAAGGAGGATCCAAGTGCATTCACAATACCATGCACCATTGGGCCAATCAAGTTTGCAAAAGCTTTATGTGATTTGGGAGTAGCATAAATTTGATGCTTTTAGCCATTTATAAAAAGTTAGGTTTGGGAGTACCAAAACCTACAGCAATGAGGTTGATGATGGCTGATAGGTCAGTAAAGAGGCCGGTGGGAATCTTGTGTGATGTACTGGTAAAGGTGGACACTTTCATCTTTCTAGCTAATTTCGTGATTCTGGATTGCGAAGTGGATTTTGAGGTTCCCATCATCTTGGGAAGACCCTTTTTGGCCACAGGAAGAGCTTTAGTGGATGTTGAGAGAGGAGAGTTGAAGTTCAAACTCAACACAGATGAGGTAAGGTTCAATATTTGCAGGTAAATGAAACAACCACGAGATATGAATGTGATATCTGCAATAGAGATGGTCACTGATGAAGACATGAGAGTACCCATAGAAGAGAGAATGGTCGTTGAAACATTAGCAGCAGTACTGATGAACTTTGATGCTGATTTCCAGTCTGACTATGTAGAGACCATGAATGCCTTGCAGGGTATGGGAGCCTTGCAGGGTATGGGAGCACATTCGTATGCTCCAAAGAAATTGGACTTGGACTTGAAAAATAGGCCAAGCCCTTCAGCGAAACCATCCATTGAGGAGCCACCGGTGTTGGAGCTGAAACAGTTACCCACTCATCTCAGGTATGTATTCTTGGGTGCTAATAACACTTTACCATTGATATTGGCTGCAGATTTGAATGAAGATCAGGTACAAGAGGTGATCAAGGTGCTAAAAAGATACAAAAGAGCCATTGGCTGGATCATTGCTGATATAATTGGGATACCTCCGGGTATTTGCACGCATAAGATTCAGCTTGAGGAAGACTGCAACCCGAGTATTGAACACCAATGGAGGTTGAACCCACCTATGCAAGAGGTGGTTAAGAAAGAAATAATCAAATGGTTAGATATTGGGGTGGTCTACCCTATCTCTGATAGCCACTGGGTCAGTCCAGTGCAATGTGTGCCTAAAAACGGAGGTATGACTGTAGTGGCAAATGCCAAGAATGAATTAGTCCCGCAAAGACCAGTCACTGGATGGCAAGTGTGCATGGACTACATGAAGCTGAATTAGTGGACTTTGAGAGATCATTTCCCCATGCCTTTCTTGGACCAGATGCTTGACAAGTTGGCAAGTAAAGGAAGGTACTGTTTCTTAGATGGATACTCTGGCTACAACCAGATATCAATTGCACCTGAAGATTAGGAAAAGACCACCATCACATGTCTTTATGGCACCTTTGCATTTAAACGCATGCCATTTGGACTATGTAATGCACCATCCACATTCCAAAGGTGTATGATGTCCATCTTTTCAGACATGGTTGAGGACACTCTAGAGGTATTTATGGACGACTTCTCTATAGTAGGTGATACGTTTGATGACTGTTTGTTTAATCTTAGCAAGGCTTTACAGAGATGTGAGGAAGCCAACTTAGTGCTAAATTGGGAAAAGTGTCACTTCATGGTAAACAAGGGCATAGTCCTTGGACACAAGGTGTCACAGAAAGGAATTAAGGTCGACAAAGCTAAGATTGAGGTAATTGAAAAATTACCTCCACCAATCTGTGTGAAGGGTGTTCGAAGCTGTAACGACCCGGAAAATGATAGAGTGAAACTAGAGCCGCACATGTGAGTTTGGAGTCGAGAACTTAATGAAATGATTATATTTGAATTTGACCCAAAAAGTTCTTAAAAATGTGCTTCGGAAGTTATCGGAAACTTGTTTAGCTGTATATAAAAAGATCCGTTTCGTTTTTCGAAAATCCGACTTCATATTCTTGTTTAGGGGGTCAAATTGAGTGGTAAATGGGTCTAACCCAAATTTTAGAGCAACCGTATCAAAATCCGAAATTTCAAAATGAAGCCTTTTTCGAGGGTCTACTTTGGAGGGTCATATCTCCTAGCACACAAATTATTTGGGTGGCCAATAATATATCCATGGAAAGCCCTTTGAGTTAGCTACCTAACGCACTTCGTTTCATCTCATTCGGAGTTCGGACGAAGAAGTTATGCCCATTTTCATAAAATCTGTCCGGCAGAAAAAGGCAATTTCCAGTAGCTAATTTTACTGTTCACCCGCCCCTTTTTTTTTCTAAGTGTTGGACGAATTTTTTTTCCAAAGGGCATATATTATTTCTTAGATACCATTAATTCAATTCCCATCCCTAAAACATTTCCCTCTCTACAATCCTCCATTAAGAAGAAGAAGAACTTGGAGCTAGGGCTTGGATTCAAGGCTTTCTTCATCAATTTTCTTGGGGAATCATAGCAAAGGTATGGTGACCCTTGATCCTTGATTATCTTTCCTTCAAGGAGTCCATTAAAAAGGGTTTCAAAAGTCTTCAAAGAACAAAATTTCTATTTTCTATTCTAGGTATGGGTTCATGGGTAAAATGTTTTCAAAGTCATTATATTGGTGAATTGAAGTTGTAGTTATGATTTTAAGATGATTTTATATGAAACTTCTTCAAGAACCCATGATTTCTCTCTATTCCTAGTTTATGCCTTTATGAAGTGGGTTGCTTGATAATGAATGTATATGAATCAAACTTTGTTTAAATGTCTTTAGATTGTTGGAGTATGTCATTACCCATGCTTATTTTATGGTGTATTGTTGGTATATGGATGAATTGAGGATTGTGGCCTTATGGGCAAGTTATGGATGAATTCTCTTGTGGTAAGAAAAATGGCTGGGACTTGAGTGTTGTTGATTATGGCTTTGGAGGATGGTAAGTTAGATTAATCTCATATTATGGATAAAAATTATTCTTGCTTGGTTTGATCCACTTATGGTGGAGGTGTTTAATTATGAAATGTATTGTGACCATGGCCTTAAAGGCATAGTATGAGAAATTGGAGTGTTATCATGACATTATATGAATGAGAATTCAATGAAGATAATATGATCATGTTATGAACGTAAATGTGTTGCTATTGAAAGATTATTTCTCAATTTGACACTCATGAATGTTGATGATAGAATATGAAGGATTTTTCAATATAAAGTATACCTTGAATTGGTAAGACTTATGCGTTATTTTCTTGTATAAATGATTATATTGTTGATTGTTGAATCCTCGGATCGGTAGGCTAGTGGCACCATTCCACACGAGCTTATAATGAACCTTGGAATCGGTAGGCCTATAGCACCTTTCCATGAAGGTTAATGATGAGACTTGAACCGGTAGGCCCATGGCACCCTTTCAAGAGGAGTTAATGAGCTTTCCTAAATGAACCTTGAAACGGTAGGCTTAAAGCACCATTTCACATGTTAATGAATGTAATTTGGAGTTGGTAGGCCAATGGCACCTCTCATATGTGATAATGTCAAGGTAACGAACTATTCTATGGGAATGTAGGCTAAGCACCGAGTGGATTTGGTTAGATGGAAACTCCCCCAATAGTTAGGCATGAGTTTCAATGATCGTCTACCTTATCCCATAAACTATGTGCCCGCATAGGTAGCTAGTGGATCCATTAAGCTATATACCGGTCTTCCTTAGGCAAGTAGACCACCTCTTTACGGTGTGGGGACTTATGACACCGGATTCCATGACAAACTCTCATGGTCTATGTCGGTTAAACGCTTACTTCCCATCATGTGAGATTTTATTATGGTTTCTTGATAAGCTCTACAAAGTGTAGGTAGTAGTATGGGATGCTACCTATACATTGCACGAGTAGGCTTGGAGAGGGTCATAGTGAGTTTCTCTAAATCCTAATGTATGTGACACAAATGTGCCCTAAATGAGGTTATTAAAGAATATTGGCTCTCGAATGTTTAATATGAGATGCATGCTATACTTGGGTTATATTATGAGTTATTTTCCCTTGTCATGTCTTAATTAATGATATACCTCTTATGTATGAATATTGTGGAAATGTGAAAGAAAGGAATGATAAGTTACTTTAAGTAACCTAAATGTGGTACCTTAGTATGGATAGTGGTATGGGACGCCATCCATACATTGCACGAGGTATAACATAAGGGTTCTTGAGGTGAAGGTCCAAGGTAAAGGTTTTCATGTTGAAATTGTTTAAATGTAATATTATGACTTACTTGATGTTTATGCTTATATTGTATGCCTTTTATGCAACTATTCATGGTACTTCAAAAAGTGGCATAATGCATGGTTTCTAACCAAAATGTCCCTTTTAAAGCATGTTTTGCATGGTCATCATACTTAGTACTTAATTGTGCTAATTCCATATTTCTCTATTTTCTATAAGTGTAGGTTCCGGCAAGTGATCACTCCTAGCTAGTTTGAAGTGTTGGATTGCTTTCCTCTAAGACTTGGTATGTCCTCATGGATTCGAGGATAAGACTTTTAAGTCCTTTTGTTCATGTAATAGACTTAATAGACTTCTTTTGATTGTAAAGGGCCGTGTCCCTACTTATGTTTTGTGATTGTGTCTAAGATGGTCATGTGAGACTTAGACTTCCGCTGTGTGTTTTTAAAGTTGTTTTAATGAAGTTCAATTGTGTGGATGTAAATAAGTTTTTTTTTATTCCGCACTATTTTCATTATTGAATGCAATGAATGACTATGTGGCTCGTATAAGGCCCCTTCGGGGTCGAATACGCCATGTTACGACTAGGGGGTACTCTCGGGTCGTGACAAACATGGTATCAGAGCATAAGATTTTGGGAATGGTTTTTAGGATCAAAGTCTCACAAGCCACGTCTAGTAGAGTCTTGTTCATCGGTGTGAGTCGCGACACATCTATGAGCGAGAGGCTATAGGACGGTAGAAGTTACACTTCTTTCATTATTCTTGAAGTCGTGCCTTAGAGTGTGGTTCTATAAGTGTTCTTATACTTATCCTTCTCTTGTGTTTATAGGATATGAATATAAGAGGGAGACCCGCAAGGAGAGTAGGAGAAGAGGATGTGAATGAGGAAGTTCCTCCCCAAGTTGTGCATAATGGTCAAGGTGTGCAATGCAATCGAGTTCCTATAGGTGAGCAAGAGAATGAGGTTCCGGTGGTTCCCTCGGATATGACCAATGAAG